GTTTTGGTATAGCTATATATCACTGTGGGGCATATTTGGACAAGGGACCCTGTTAACTATCAGTGGTAAGTCCATTTATCATTGTAATCTTTCCTTCTCCATAGCATTTTTTAAAACGTTTCCTTCATTTTTCCCTCTTTTTCTCCAATTCAGATTCTTGTAATGTTATCAGTCTTGTTAGTCTATCAATGTTGTCTTAAGGTTTTAAAATTCAGTTTCAAGTTCAGGGGATCCTCATCTTTTCCAGGCCAGCCTACAATACCTCCTTCAGTGAAAATCTTTAAAACTGGGACATTGGATGAGGAGAAATTTAATCTTTTGCTTTCATGCCCCTTTTCATATTCTCAGCAACCACACCACACATTGCGGTCTTACAATAGATTGCAAACTAGCAAAGATTATTTATTTTATTGGACTACGTGTACTACCCTTTCGTTCACTATGGAGTTGAAAATGGCCAGATCCAAAATTCTGTACCTTCAGTTGCTTCCTTGATTGATTGATTAATCGATTGATTGATTGATTGATTGACTGATATGGTCCTTCCTATGTGAGTGTTGTGTTCCATGTATCTGTTTACGAAAGCCAATTTCAACCATAAGAAACAACTTGAATGTAGACAAAACGCTACAAAAACACTTCTCACTCTTCTATGACTACTTGACTGGCGATATCACAAGAAGCTATTTTTGGGGGTTCTTCTGTGCAGGTCAGTGAATGATGACTCTGAACTCTCATGCTTTCTTCACCTATCAATGGGCTGTATCCGCCAGATTTTCTTGAATGACCTTCTTGGCCATGAATTGCTTCCATGATGTCCAAGCATAAACCACTGAAACCGCACCATTTTTTTTTCTTCAGAATACAACATTTGTTGCAGATCCTTTAGAAATTTCAAGAAACCCAGTGATTGCCCAAGGTGGGATCTCTGCTCAATGAACCTTCACTGTTGTTAAATGAAGGCACATTTTTGTACATCTATGTGTCACTGTGGTTCGTCTTTGGAGGAGGGACCCAAGTAATCATCACTGGTAAGTCCATTTATCATTGTAGTCTTTCCTTCTCCATGCTATTTTTTTTAAACTTTTCCATCATTTTTCCCTCTTTTTCTTGGTCTAGTAGACCTTAGCATTTTGCTTTGACTAATCATGTTTAATCCTAACCTAAGTAGAGTGCAAGAAAAGTGGTGAAATACAACTTCTCTTTCCTTACTCTAGAGTAACATGACATTATTTAGAAATCAGATTCTGAAATAACTTGTCTCTATAATGCCAAAGGTAACAGAAAATTGCCTATCAGCTGGAGTGTCTCTCAATAGTCAATTGGCATAATAGCTATGGAATTAAAACATTCCTTCTGAGTGGAAAGGAGAAATATTTATTTGACTTTGAGAAAAAATTAGGAGTCACATCCTAGAATCAAATCAATTTACACTTTGCCTGACAAATTAGCCACCTTTACCCCCAAGCATCCAATCCACTTAAAATATTTTGCTTACCTATTTTCTTGGGTAGAAACAGAAAGGTAATATTGAACACAGCTTTCTAACAGCAATTCATCAAAACTGGACTATGGGTACCAACTCAGAATGAATCTTCATGTTCTGGTTCATCACGCGGTAATCTATTTCCGCATTTGAGAACTGTAAGATGTTTTCCAGGTAAGGTCAAAAGAAATCTGGGTTAGGATATTTGAGCAGACTTTCTCTTCCATTGAGTTTAAATGTTGTTAGAAAGCTGAAATCACATTCCGTGAACCTCAAGTCTATTTCTGTCCTTTAATTCTCTTGTGCAGTAAAGATGTTTTTCCTAGCAAAAAGATGCAGGATGCTGGATAGGAGCTCTGGTGATAAAATGTTCCATCCCTGAGAATGAACATCCCTGCATTCAGGGACAAATCTTTCCTTCTTTCTCCTGGCCTGGTAGAAGCAAGATTAATGAAACATGACTAATTAATAATTAACCAGGCTAGAAACCAGGAGACCATGAGTTCTAGTCCCCCTTTAGGCATGAAGCCAGCTGACTGACCTTGAGTCAGTCATTGTCTCTCAGCCCTCGGAAGGAGGTAATGGCAAACCATTTCCAAAAAAACTTGCCAAGAAAACTGCAGGGATTTCTTCAGACAGTTGCCAGGAGTCAAAAATTGAGTTGAAGGCACAAAAAGAGAGAGAGAGAGAGAGAGAGAGAGAGAGAGACAGTTTGGTGTAGTGGTTAAGCCACCAGGCTAGAAACTGGGAGACTCTGAGTTCTAGTCCTGTCTTGGGCACAGAAGCCAACAGGGTGACCTTGGGCCAGTCCCTCTCTCTCAGCCCTAGGAAGAAGAAGGCTGGGGCAAACCACTTCTGAAATCTTCCCAACAGAACTGCAAAGACTAATCCCAGTATTATATAGAGATATAGTGAAATAGCTAATCCCGTGATCAATCTGGAAAATCTCACAAGGTTCTTTCTACCATTTCCTAAAACACACTCAGAACTGTGACTGGCAGCTAGGATGATCACACTGACAGTGATCCCTACAGAACTCTTTAAATAATTAGATTTCTCTCCCTCATGTACAGTAGATATACAAAATGAAATTAATCATGCATTAATTGTGTACCTATCTCAACCCAGAAATAAGAACTACAAAAGAGCTTGTACCCAGAACTTATTATTTAGGATGACGCATTGCCCCATTCCCTTCTTCAGACCCATTTACAAGCTGTACTTCTCCCAAACGCACAGTATTGTCCAGATGTTCTCTTGATACATTCTTCTTTGTCTTGTACAAAAGTGCAAAGAAAAAGAAGTGCAATTCAAACATTCTTTAAGATAATCAGAAAAATATGGCTCTTCCAAATGTTCTTCGAAGAGAAATAGGTGTGAAAAGTAACTCCCCTGCAGAGACATGCCGATATCCTTAGGTGGGACCGTGCAGGAAATATTACTCTTGATGTAAAACCCATATGATTTTTGGTAAAAGACCTAACTTGGTGGTTTCATAGAAGTAACTGCAAGAATTGTTGGTAAGCTGCTATAATGGGAAATCAAATCATACCCAATCAAAATTTTATTTCAACTCCAGGACAAAACACTTAATGGGAATCAATTTTGTCCATTTGAAATAAGAGCCCCCGGTGGAATCAGAATTACATTCTGAAAACAAAGGACGTGATCCAAATATCCCCTCCACCTCTCAAACAATGTTTTTGTTTCCCTTAAGCAGGAGGTCTTATGAATCTTACCATCTTACATATGTAGTATTCTGAGAAATTTTCTCTTGAGATATTTTCTTTCCCACTCCCTCCCCCAGAGTCTTAATCAGGCAAACTATATGCAGTTTTATCCACCTTGTTTCTCAGTCAATCTTGTATTAAAGTTTTAAGATTCAGTGTAAAAGTTCATGAGATCTTCCTCTCTTTCAGGTCAGCCCACAGTCTCTCCTACGGTGCGAGCTTTTGGTCCTCCCCAGGAAGACATCAGGAGAAGGACAAGGTCAGCCCAGGACAAGGCCACCTTGGTGTGTCTCTTAAGCAACTTTTACCCACCTAATTTCAACCTACAATGGAAGGTTGATGGGAACTTGATCACATCTGGAGTGGAGACCAGCAAAGCTACCAAGCAGGGTGACAAATACCTTGCCAGCAGTTACCTCTCCTTGAGTGCCTCTGAGTATGGAAAGCATAACATTTACACCTGTGAAGTGACACACGAAGGAAAGACCATTACGAAGTCTGTGTCCGGCTCTGGAAGTTGTTAACTCCATCATGAATCCCTCTCCTGCCATCGGGCAGCAGGAAAGAGCCCCTCCATGGCTCTCATTTATTCTTTCCGAATCTTAGCTTGATCAATAACATTTATTTCTGTCTCATATAGTTACACTCTTTGTAACCTCTCCATGCCGACACCCCTTGAAATCAATCCCCCTTCCCTTTGTCTTAGTTTCTACCATTAGAAGATTAATAAAGATGGATGTATTTCATTTGTGATGTTGTTTTTAATAAATTGTATTAAGAATATACATAGAATTCTGCTAGATCATAGTAGAGGCCTCTTTCATTCAGCACCCAGTTTTCCAATGGCCCATCAGATTCAATTTAAGATACCAGCTTACTAGGCAACTCTTATTACTGAAAACGAATTTAGTTCTGGTTCCAGATTTTCCAGAAGATGCAGATAAGAAGGTCTTCATGGAGCTTCTCCAAGTTCTCTGATACACTCACATACACTAAGTCTTCATCCATCTTCTAAATGGAATGCATTGCATTTCTCCTAAATGGTGGGGAAGGTGTGGCTTAAGTACCTATGGGGTACACCTGGGTGCTCTTCAACAATCTCAAGTAATCTTTGGATCAAAAGAAACCAGGTTTGGACAATAGCTTGTTTGAATGTCTACCTTCAGATTGTGTCTCTTCTCCAACTTCTTAAGTCTGTCTTAATATTTCCCTTCAAGGGCAACCCAAGAAATTAGCTGACCACATCATTAAGACTTTAACCTATGGTCCCACTCTTCTCTGTGTGGCACATTAACTTTTGATACAGACTACTAAGGGCTTTTAAAACACATGAAGCTAATTGGTGGGCTTACCTGGAAGGACAGCCACCAGGCACTCAGTAAATGGGTTAAGTCCTGATGTGTAGCATTTTTATTGTTTCCTTAGTCCTACGTGTAAAGGAGAAAGAAGCAGCAAATAAGGCTTCTAGATCTTTATTGATTGATTTATTATTGCATTTTGTAATGCTACCCAACTCCAAAAAGACTCTGGATGGCTTACAGTATTTCAAACACATCATTTAAGACCCCAGTTAAAAATATAAGCATGTAGACTAAACAGTAACCATAACATTCAACATGTATGCTAGATAACTTCCTGAAACCTACGTATTGCTGAGCAATCATAGAATGCTTTCTGGGGAGGATGAACACTATGAACAAACAGATTTCAATAACATGTATATTATTGGACTAATAATATAGTACTAATACGTAATAATACTAATAAGATAATAATAGGGATCTGGATTTTGGGGATCACAAGGAGGACATTCCATGTGAGAACATTCCCACTGCAGGGGTGAAATGTAGTAGAGGCCCATCAAATTATTCCTCAGCCTAGCACCAATAACTTCCACCACCACATCTGGAGATCAATACTGATCGAAAAGCTAAAATCGCTCCAATAAACATTAGGATGACCCAGTGGCCATTTTTAGATACTCCAGCTAAGATTATGGATGATGAATCTCATGGGGTTTCGGCCGTTTTCGGCTCAATCTTCATTGTTCTTATTCCATTAACTTCATTCCCTTCTTAGCTTTGGGTACAATCACTAAAAAGTACAATTTTCATAAAAGATCATCAATGAACTTTATGGAAACCTATTTGACCTGTTGCAGATGGACATTCAAATCCAATGGATCCATTATAATTGATGCCTGATGGTCATCTCCTAATAAGTCTATTTATAAAAATGCCACATTGTATGGTGGGCTCTGGAAATCACAGTTTAACAGACACATCCAGAGATTGTAGAGTATGAAAATAAAAGGTGGACAAGGAACGTGAACAACACTCTATGAAAGCAATGTAAATTGATCTTCTCATGAGTTCTAGGAACCGTACAATTCATTACTGGAAACATATACCTTTACTTGATATGAAGTCTAATTATAATCTTCTATAAACAGCCACTAAGTGCATTATTTAATTCATTAGCATTGACCCCTCTAAGGGTTAACCAGCAGGTAATTGGGGCAGTTCATATTTACAACCAAATAATGGTCCAGCATACTAGATTTCATTTATAAGAAATTATCTGAACAAGACAGAACAATATTACCTACAAAGAGGTGAGCAAGACTTCTCTGAAGAAGCATATTCTACATCTCTTAGACTGGATATGCCATTCTATGGTTCTTCCATATGCATAGATAAAATGTCAGAAGGATCTTTTATGTTACTTCCATTGATAAAGGCACTGTGTCCAGTCGAATGTTTTATGACCTGCCCTGCTGGTGAATTGTGATCATAAAAGCCAACATGAACCAAGTAAGTACACTTTTTTCCTTCCATAATGCTCTTTTGAACTATGGATTGTTTAGAAAATCTTAAGAATACCAACAATTGTTCTCCAAGTGCCTACATGACTCCCAGGTAAGATCAAGATTTAGGAGTTATTGACCTCAATAGGTTTCACTGACTCAGATCTTCAGTGAAACAAAGGCAGGTTTTTGTATAAACCTGTGTCACTGTGGTTCATGTTCAGAGGCCAAATCTATCTGACTGCCACTTATTTGTGGTCACTAATTAATAGTGACCTTTTACTTCATTAAGGGCTTTGCTCTACTTTCTTGCTCTGTCTTCAACTTGATAGTAACGTTGTCTTTATTTTATTTTGGATTCTCCCATTACAAAATGTATAGTTAATCATAGCTTGAGTAGAACATAGTTATTTCAATCTGAAATCGTTGACTGAAATTGCCATCTCTTCTAGGCTAACATGACAAGTTCAAGATCATGCCCCACTTGTGATCCAAACACTAATCCCTAGAATCATCTCTGTGTTGAAGACATGGGATTTTACATGCAATTATAAAAAATCAGAATGTACAAATGCAAGGCAGAACAGTATCCTGCATACATGTAATTCATGCTCACTAGGATCGTGCTAATACTGTTCCAAAATCTACGTGACAATTTCTCAGACATTTCCCTCCTCTGCAAAAGATGCATCTGCTTTTCTACCTTGTTCTTAGAGTGCTTGAGAATTTCTCCTCACTCATCATGGAAGCTTTAGGCTGATTTGGCAGGTGGTAGAAGGAATTTTCTGTTCCATAGTTTCCCATAACTCTGAGACATCTCTGACTATCCACGTGTGCATAGCTGAAAAAAGCCCATTTGGAAGAGAACCCTCTTCTCTTTTCTAGCATGTCTCACTCTCTATCATGTCTCGTTCTCACTCTCTAGCATGCCTCCATGGATTTAATTGAAGGTTGGGAGGCCATGAAGGATGCAGAGTTCCAGAGAGAGGACTATACTATGAAAAATAGAATATTCGAATATTCACACACACACAACCTTTGGCCCCTCATTGCCAAATGAATAGGAGAGCAGCCCACTCCAGCCATTTCACTGAAATTCTTTTCTTGTTTGAAAGCCATTTCAAAAGCAAATTCTATTTCATTAAATTGAATGAGAACTAAGGAGGAAAAAAGGCATGGGAATTTCCAGGACAGCAGTGGATCCTGGTTTCTTTAACCAAGATTGACTGAATAAATCATGCTTATCTGTCTTTGCATAACACACAAGGGCATCCATCAAGGATTGACAAGCCATAGACAAACTATGTTATGATTTACCATGCTGAATGAGCCCAGCCTCTGAATTCTGTTGTATGTGAAATTCATTTGTAACACACAAAAGCTAATCCATAAAATGATTTTAGGTCATCATGTAATTTCTGAAAGAGTTAAGAAGTTATACATCCTTATGACATAGACAAGTTCATATGTATAATCAAAAATGGCCTAATGGGTGTACTTTAATCATAAGAAATTATTCTAAGATAGATTTTAAGAAATGCATTCACCACCCCCTGGATGAGTCCATGCTTTAACACACATCATTAATTAGATCAACGTCTTCGTAAAGCTGAACATAATTAGAAATGGTTTCCAGAACTTTTTTTCATTATGTTTGCAGATTTATCCCTGACAATAGTGTCAAACGGATTCCACCGAGAGCTGACAAAGATTCTTTGCTTCTTCCACAAATCTAGTACCTGGGGCTGCCAATGAAAAAGATCAGATTCTAATTTAACCATAATTTGACTGGTACTGCATATAAGCTAATATTCCACCTCAATGCATAGCAAGATTTCTCCTCTCTAGATCAGCCAACAGTGTGGCCTTCTGTTCAACTCCTCAGCCCATCGTAGAAAGAGAGGATAAGCTCAAACCAGGATACTCTGCTATGTCTAATGGGAGGTTTTCAGCCAAGCCATATAGTGAGAGCTAGAAGAGAATAGAGACAACTAAATGTAAGCAGCCTATGTAGTTAGAAATTCCCTGAGCTGAACTTAGCCCAGCTGGAAGTCCCACATAAAGTACACTTGCAAGATGACCCATGGAACAAAGAGCTTTGAAATTTGTGGTGAGATGAAGATGTCTTTCTTCCATGTACAGGTGGTCCCCAGTTTAAGAACAAGTTCTGTTCCCAAGGTCTATCCATAAGTCAAATTTGTAGGCAAGCTGGAATAGTATTATTGTATAATACTGTATAAGTAGT